AGTGATCGGTATCGGTGATCGGCCCTCATGAGTGATCGGTATCGGCATGAAAAAACCTGATCGTCACATCTCTATCATGTATTATATAAATTGTCTCAATCTCCACAACATTTAAGCATAATTTCATCGCTTAAATGTTAACAAACAAAACGCTCGAACAGGTTATCACAATATGTCAAGCATAATTCTATACATTTCCTCCTGTACTTTCTCTTGCTGTCGCTAGTTTTTTCTCTGAGCTGTTTCCAGATATTCTTCAGTAATTCCCCGTCTCCCTTTTTTTCTTGTTTAAAATGATGATGGATGATGATTTTTATTTGCTAGCACCTTTCAAGACACCCAAGAGCACTTTACAATAAAAAAACCAATACAAGTGTACACTAAAAAAGAAAACAAATGTAGAAGAAAAAATAAATAAATGAAAGATTACAATGATAAGGCCAACTTGAACAGATGTATGTTGAGTTGTGACTTGAAAGTATGAAGTTGGTGATCAAGGGTTAGTCATTAGGGAAGCTGTTCTGGTAGGGGTGGTTGTTGTCCACACAGTTTTATACAGTTGGACACAGTCATGACAATGTCACCCTCTCAATGTGGCTGCCACAGAGTATTCCAGTCAGTAACCTCAAAACAACCTTGCAGGGCTCCCCCAGCTTCCGGTGACCATCTTCTTACAGTTCTTTTTGTTAGAATTGTTTTTATGAAAATCACAAGATTTACAGGAGTCTTGATTGATCAGTTAAATTTTTTTTTATCAGAGTTTGGAGCTAGTAAGTAAATTCCAGGAATATACATGTATAGCAGCAAGACGGAGGAATAAAACAACCAAGTTGTGGAGAAAATAAGTGCTGACCAGCTGTTGAAAGGTGACGGTAAATGGTCTGTACTTGTACAGAACTTTATATAATCCAGAGGATGCCAAGCATAACATTCAGTCGTTCACTCATTCACACTCTGATCATGGTAAGGTACATTGTACCACAGCTGCTTTGAGGCAGTTTGACAGAAGCAGAAATTACCGAAAATTAAGAAAAATACCACAGCAACATAGAAATGTGCAAGTTTGTACTGATGAAAGGATGCAGACCTTGGAGAGCTGGTAGAGACTGAGGACTTGTTTGCAGTAGCTGCTCCCATGGCGACACTGATCCACCCGTTTCTGGATCTGGACAGTGACTGCATCTTCATGGAGGGGCACCATCACAAATGAGGACAGACTGCTGAGTGAGGGGGCTGGTTGGGCAAGAGAAGAAAATTACAGAAAGGACCAACGAGGGAAAGGATTTTAGGGAAGATGTTAAAAAAGAACATACACTGGGTTAGAGCCTTTGTTTCTATGGGTTCTGAGGTCTGCCCTTGTTGTTCCGGTACCAAGAATCCACATGCCAGAGCATGGCAGCACAGGACCAACCATACATCTGGATTGTGCATATTGAAATAGCGGCAAACACGACTGGCTTCATGTATACTACCCTTATCTAGTAACTGGTCAATAAGTATTGCTAAAACTCTTCTCTCTTCAGAACTTAAATCTGATTCTGTTTCCAACTCCTCAGGCTTTTCTGGGAATCCCTCCAGACTCAGGTACTTCTCCATATTCAGGTCTGCAATGTTAGAGAACGAAAACTCCTTCATGAACATCTCATATTCGTTGGTTTCAGGTGTGATTGCTGGTGGCAGCAGGTTAAACATGCTCTTTTCCTCTATTGTAGTTGTGAGAATGTGCTTCTGGACCTGACAGAACCACAGCTTTTTCTCCAGCCTCTGTAGCTCATCCACAGGAACAGGGGTTAGCAAAGAAAGCCAGTGAGCTGTGAGCTGGAGCAGCAAGCAGCATTCCTGGATGTCCAAAACATTTGTCTGAGCCTGGTCACCATCAGGGCCGGCGGCGGCGTCAGACTGAGATAAAAAGAACTGCGCGGCTGACTCTGGGTCAGTGCTGTCAGCTTTCAGTCGCCTGTGGCACTTCTTCCAGAAGGCCACTCGGGTCTCCAAACGTCTCCACCGCCACTTGCTCTTGTGGAAGTTTACTTCCTGAAGCAGCTGCAGGGAAAGCAGATATAGAACACAAAGCATTTAGCTTTTTTTGTCACTAACAAGTTCATCCATCCTCAAGTTATATTGTCAAAACTCTAAATACAGAAATCCCAAAAGAAAGCTACAGGGTATGAATGACTGCCAGAATATTCTAGTCGCAGTTAGAGGGTCTCAGAATTGTAGTTTTTATTCGAGAGCAGACACTCAATGTTGTGTAAAATTGGGTGGACTAGCCCTTTAGCAATTTACCGACTCGGAAGCAACAAACAGAATCTAACTTTAGCTTCATATACAAAACAAAGTAAGTGTATAAGACTTTATGTGTGAAGGTATCACACATAATGTGTCATAGAAATTAATTCTATGATGCTTCGTACACAAACGAGTCTCGACTCCCCCTAGTGGTCTGGAGCATTCTGTTTTGCTGATGGAGTTTGTAGTTTTATTTCCCCCTTGCTCCTTTTTCTTCTGATTGCAGTGTTTTGTCATTGATGGCTTTTTTGTTTGCATTAATTTTGTTAATTGAAAGTTTTTGCTTCCATTTTCTGTTGTTGGAGCATTTCTTTGTTGTTGTTTGCAGTGCTTTGCTGTTGCATTTGCTTTTTGTTTTTACGTGTTGGTAGATCCTCTTGCCTTTTACTGCATGTTTGCACCTGTAGGCCACCGTAGTTAGAACAAGCTATCTTAAGGGAAGCAATTGTAAAATCTGGAACATTTTAACCCACTGGAGGTGAGAATGGATGATGTTCATAGGATTTCTTTGATTATTTAGTAAGTACATCTTCTTATTTAATAACACGCTACAGACATGTGCTGTAGCGTAAAACATAAAGTTGCATGTGAGCATGAAAACATTCTCATGGATAAGTTACCGGACAGAAAAGGTACTAGAAGAAGAGACTGGGAAAAATTAGATAGGAAGTTTTCTATTGAATAGAATAGGAAGCTGTCCTTGTGCGAAGGAGAAGCAACGTGATATTTGAAAGCCAAAAAGTGAAATTTATTATGTAGACAAGGTTGTAGACAAGGATCAGTTTGTACAAACTAGGTGTAGAGTTACTAAAAGAAATGTGCAATTTGTATTAAGAGTCTGGTAGAGATAGCTCACAGTGTAAAGTGCTTTGCAATCTCTTTAGTATTAATAACCATAAGTAGTAACTGTCTGACTTTTCTCTCTGGGTACAGTTTTAGTCCTTTCTTCCTTCATTTTAAACATAACTCTAGAAACTAAAACAAGGCTAAACCTTGTGTGACCTGATGGTTCAGACCTGGCTCATGAGGAGGCGGTGAACAGGCAGACCAGCCAGCACTGCCACCTGTCTGGCCTGGCTGTAGCATCCTCCAGTTTGCAAAGCATCCACTATCAGCTGAAACTCCTCCTGCTGGACAGAGGGGGAAATGCACTGCAGCAGGCTCTGGGACAGAGTCACACCTGATCCTTGCAGTAACTGACTCAGCTGGCTCAACTTCCTGAAGTCTGGACCTGGAGACAAACAGGAGTTACATGCACACACACACATAGGAATACATAGGAATATACACAAGGGGTATATTCAGAAGATATGATCTTTTTCAAAGTTTTGTTCATCAGTATTTTCAGAGCATGTTTAAAGTTCTATATTCAAGCCTGGGTATCCTTAGCTTCCAAAAGTTATTTGAGCAGACTGAGCTGTGCAACCTAAGGATAATTCTAAATCTATAAATTTCAGTGACTCAATTCACCATGAGACAAAACACAGTAATTACATATACAGTGATGTTTATGAGCCTTTATTTTTGTGAATTATGATGATTCTCAATAAAAATCAGACTCTCCTAGCATGGAAACATGATATTCAAGCTCTCTTTAACATTGTTGAACAAAGAAGCAGTTTGATGATGTGACGGAAATGAAGAAAAAACAGAAGAAATCTGGTGCCAGCTTTTTTTCATACAAGCACTGGGCATATATGATAAAAAACAAACAAATTAAAACCACATTTTCTGAGCTGATTCTGTCAGTAAGAGATGTATATTGTGATCACTTTGTGAGGCAGCAGCCCTGAACATCTCACCATTGGATTTGAGAAGTTTGTCAACGTCAGCCAGGAGCTGCAGCAGCTGGTGAAGGTCGTACTGGGAGGAGCAGCGCAGCAGCATGGTGAGGAGCAGCACTGAGGCTTGGCTCTCCACCCACTGCAGAGGAAGGCTGCCTGCAGCCTCTGGACCACAGTTTCTGAGCTACACCAAAGGAAACAGATCAGTGTCAGTCCCTCTTCTTTTAGCTAATTTCACTGTCAGCTCAATCACATTTCTTAGCCCACCATCTGCTCCCTTTGCTCTCTCCTTGCTACCACAGTACTGTTCTACAGTGCATAAACATGTCATAAAGAGATGCTGACCCATTAAAAAAATCCCAAAAACATGACGGATGCAAGAACTGAATGTGCAACTAAGCTCATCATATACCGGATCCAACTATAATCTTTAAAACTCATGGATAACAATTGTTGTGTGGTATTTAATCTTCAGTATTTATCAAAAATCCCAATCTACTTGAAATGCACATGAAGACAAAGCCATTTCAAAATACCCCATGAAATAAATGCATCATTTTATTACCTTGGCAGAGAAATAAAAACACAGGAAGAACAGACTGCTTTTCCCACCCTGAACTTTATGTTCATTTGGTTCTGATATGACCCACAGTTCAAGTCATTGTCTGCAGTGGTCACTCTTAAAGACATTTATTATTATAAAGCTACATCCAAAAACATATTGTTCTGAGCAGAAAGAGAAAGATTTTTAAAACAGTTTAAACTGTATTACTGTAAAGAATTTTTTTCTTACATTGTATTAAAATGCAGTCAACAGTCCTACTTACAGCAATAAGTGTCCTCTGAAAGTCCAACAACTTTGTCTTGGCCTCAGTGAATTTTCTGTAATCGCAACACAACTCGAACATTCTCAGCACCAACACCAGGGGACAATCCTGAGGAAAAAAAAGTGTTTGTTATTGGTAGTACTGATTGTTTGCTAGAATGAACATTACTATAAATCTAGGATATAATCTGCAAAAACACACAATCTTACCAAGTATTTTTGTCTAGTTTCTAGTGCAAATATCTTAGTACATTTGAATTAAGACAAAACTAATTTAAAAGTATCTTATCAGCAAGAATCTTGTTTTAAGTAAATAATTCCTTAACATTGGTGAAAATTGGCAGATTATTTCACTTATATCACAGGGAAATTGTCTTATACGTAAATTTATCTGCTAATGGAATAGGTCTTTTTTTCCACCAATATTAAGGAATTATTTACTGAACACAAACTTCTATATCTTGCTGAACAGATACTTGTAAGGTATTTTTCACTTATTTCAAGTGCAATAAGAAATTTGCACTAGAAGCGAGACTAAAAATACTTTGTAAGACTTGGTGTTTTTGCAGTGTGTAGGTCAATGATACCTGCTGAAAAAGCTCAAATCCTCGCAGGAGGACCCAGGTGTGACCCTGCCTCAGCAGCGTCTTCCAGATGACTGACAGGTCATGGAGGGTCCATTCATGGTCCTGGGGGGCTTCGGTGAGGTGTGAAGTGGCCTCTTCTGTTGTGTCAACGACAGAGGTCAGCATCCACACACACAGACATGACAGCAGATCTGTTCCCTGTCAGTTACATGGGAAAAAAAGAACCAACAACTAGATCAGAATTAAGATTCTGTCTAAGACCATGTATTATCTAGTTCATAACACAAAATGTGCCAAACTGATGGAGACACAGATAGGGACAGTTTGTAGTAACTCAATGTATTTACTATTAGTATAATACAGGTGTTATGGCAACAAGTAAAACTTAAATATAACTTGACTTGACATGTAGTTGTTTGTTCGAGCCAGATACCTGCAGACAGGCAGCAAGTACTGCCAGCATCGGGCAGTGTTGAACTATTGCTTCATGTAGGAGAAACTTCCATGACACTTGCTTCTCCTGGCTCTGCAGCAGCACCTGGAACAGCTCCCCACCATGTTCAGAGCCCCCAGCGGCCACGTCTGTTCTCAAAAAGCCCAACTGTTCCTGAGGGTCTCGGCTCGTCTGATTGTGAACCTGCAGGTCTTGAAATGCGAGGCTTAGGTGAGCCTGCAAGACGGGGTCAAAGAGACCTACCAGGGACCTCACCTGGGGAAACAAAATTGAAAGACTCAAAGATGATTTGTCAGTAAAATTAATTTTGAATTGAATTGGAAAAAAAACAAAACAAAAAAAAAACAAAACATCATAGGCTCAAGGAACAAAATTTAGCATCACTGGGGATAAAGAAAATCTCAAGATTCCCCCACCCCCACACGTGTGTGTAACTATGAGTGAGGATTTTGCAAAACAATTTTATTAAGATTATTTTTTAAAATAAAGGTCCTGATTTTTTCAAGAGAAAGTACACAACATATTAAACTATTTGGCCAGGTGAGAAAAATTATTTTTGATCATTTCATCAGTGAAATTAAGTTTACTCTTGTTATATACAGTACAGACCAAAAGTTTGGACACACCTTTTCATTCAAAGAGTTTTCTTTGAATGACGACGACACATTCATTCACACTTTTACATAGATTTTTACCCAGAATGCAAATGGAGAAAACCGTGAGTGAAACGGTGACTGGGACTGACTAGTATATTTTCCATTGAGGGAAAGTAAGTTTCATATCTGCTCAAGAGCCCCCTGGTGGTTGAAGAAAAATCCACATATAAACAAGAAGATACAATATATGAAAAAAAAAAACACTGAATGCTCTCTGGTATTAGAAGGCGGGCCAGATCCAGCATTGTTCAGGGGCCCGTACCAAATGACGTGGCGGGCCGTAGTTTGGGGACCCCTGTTCTAGTTTCTTCAAAGTAGCATCCTTTTGCTGCTATTACTGCTTTGCACAGACTCTGCATTCTCTTGAGTTTCAAGAGGTAGTCACCCGAGATGGTTTTCACTTCACAGGTGTGCCCTGTCAGGTTAATAAGTGGGATTTCTTGCCTTATAAATGGGGTTGGGACCATCAGTTGTGTTGTGCAGAAGTCAGGTGGACACACAGCTGTTAGTCCTACTGAATAGAGTGTTAGAATTTGTATTATGGCAAGACAAAAGCAGCTAAATAAAGAAAAACGAGTGGCCATCATTACTTTAAGAAATGAAAGTCAGTCTGTCTGAAAAATTGGGAAAACTTTGAAAGTGTCCCCAAGTGCAGTCACAAAAACCATAAAACGCTACAAAGAAACTGGCTCACATGAGGACCGCCCCAGGAAAGGAAGACCAGGAGTCACCTCTGCTGGGGAGGATAAGTCTATCCGAGTCACAAGCCTCAGAAATCGCAGGTTAACAGCAGCTCAGATCAGAGACCAGGTCAATGCTCTAGCAATGTTCTAGCAGCAGACACATCTCTGCAACAACTGTTAAGAGGAGACTGTGAATCAGGCCTTCATGGTAGAATAGCTGCTAGGAAACCACTGCTAAGGACAGGCAACAAGCAGAAGAGACTTGTTTGGGCTAAAGAACACAAGGAATGGACATTAGACCAGTGGAAATCTGTGCTTTGGTCTGATGAGTCCAAATTTGTGATCTTTGGTTCCAACCACCGTGTCTTTGTGCGACGCAGAAAAGGTGAACGGATGGACTCTACATGCCTGGTTCCCACCGTGAAGCATGGAGGAGGAGGTGTGATGGTGTGGGGGTGCTTTGCTGGTGACACTGTTGGGGATTTATTCAAAATTGAAGGCATACTGAACCAGCATGGCCACCACAGCATCTTGCAGCGGCATGCTATTCCATCTGGTTTGTGTTTACTTGGACCATCATTTATTTTTCAACAGGACAAAGACCCAAACACACCTCCAGGCTGTGTAAGGGCTATTTGACCAAGAAGGAGAGTGATAGGGTGCTGCGCCAGATGACCTGGCCTCCACAGTCACCGGTCCTGAACCCAATCGAGATGGTTTGGGGTGAGCTTGGCCACAGAGTGAAGGCAAAAGGGCCAACAAGTGCTAAGTATCTCTGGGAACTCCTTCAAGACTGTTGGAAGACCATTTCAGGTGACTACCTCTTGAAGCTCATCAAGAGAATGCCAAGAGTGTGCGAAGCAGTAATCAAAGCAAAAGGTGGCTACTTTGAAGAACCTAGAATATAAGGCGTATTTTCAGTTATTTCACACATTTTTGTTAAGTAAATAATTCCACATGTGTTAATTCATAGTTTTGATGCCTTCAGAGTGAATCTACAATTTTCATAGTCATGAAAATGAAGAAAACTCTTTGAATGAAAAGGTGTGTCCAAACTTTTGGTCTGTACTGTAGGTTTATAATAAAATAAAAATTTTCTATCAATTTTCTACCTAATTATACCCTCTAATAATTAGTTAGATTGTAGCTGATTTACTTTAGAGAAATCTGATCTGACTAAATTGATGACATTTTTGTAACATTATCAGTTCATTTCTGTTAATATTTGTCATCTAAAAAAGTTATTTTTTTCTGTTAAAAAAATTTCTAACAGGGTGTTTTAATGAAATGTTACAAACTTGGATTTCTGTATATTCTATAATAAACACTACTAAGGGTAAGTACATGTGAACTGAACATCACGTCTTCATTGTGCAAAGTTCTCAGTCTCTTTTCTGTCCTGATGGAATCTCTCCTCCTACTCATTGATCAGATTCTCAGGAAACCAATCCAGATGTGAGAACAAGTCATGCATTTGATGCTCATGGTGCTCCATAGTTCAGAAAGTTGACCTGATTGAGTAAAACCAATGTGATTTCTGGATTTAGTTCATCAAAATGACACTAAGAGAGTTGAAAAACCCCATACAATATTTTTGGCTGTTGAACTGCTTTTTTGACTGTGATATTGTCTGAAAGTGTTTTAGAGCAAGTTTTAATGCGTGTTGCTTTTATCTTGGAAATTGTATTAGTGGTGTTGGCCAGGTCTCCCTTGTAAAATATATCTCTGATCTCAATGGAACTAATCTAGTTAAATAAAGGTTTAATCAAATAATTACAAAATAGGCACAATTTATGTTATTCAAATAAATGGAAATAAGTAACATTTCTTAAAAAGATGGAGTGTGTCCTGTGTGTGCTCACCTGCTGGGGTGGGAAATTGTGCAGTTGGACAAACAATAAAAAGTGTACAAATTGTCTGTCCTCAGCACAGTGCCTGGGATAAATCAGGCTGAGCTCCAGACTGTGGAGCTGACAGAACTGAACAGGTAAGGCCCACTGCTGAGCCGCCTCGAACGATGACCTGAGAAAACAACTCACAATACTTAGAAAGAACATCTGAACATAAGACCTCAGAATTACATCTGTCAATCATTCAACTGCAAGTAGTTTCATTTTTCATGACATTACATCAGGGTGGCTGTGGGACAGTAAAAAAAACAAGGTGTGGGATTCTGTTTTCATCCTTGATGTGTACTCACCACACACTTCTGTAATTTAAAGTTATCCACCAGGTACACCTCTCTAAAGCTAAACTGGTGTGCATTTACCCAAACATGGACCCAACATGTGACAGGTATAGCAGTTCACCTGCTACATAAATCCACATGTTTTGGTCTTGTCCTTCTCCAGCTAATTTCTAGACGTCAGCCTTCCGTACTATATCTGACGTCTTGCACTGTGAGATCAAGTCAAACCCTTTATCCGCCATCTTTGGCGTCAAACAAAGAATTCTCTCACTTTCATCATTAATTGCCAGGAGAGCTGTCTTATTAAGATGGAATGATCCCCCTTCACATTCACACTGGATAAAGGATATGATGTTTTGTATGGACTTAGAAAAAGTAACCTTTACTGTCTGAAGTTATTCATTCTTATTTATACAAATAAGAATATATATATATATATATATTATATATATATATA